AATTGTCCAAGAAGGAAAACAGTGTCATGATACACTCATCAAATATATTTCAGACAGACCTAGCTTAATTGCCAAAGAAACTCAGTACTTAAAGAAAAGAGATAATTTGTGGACTCATTGTGTATAGATTTCTAAAACTGCTTAAATATGTTTTGCATATATTATTTGATTGAATAAAATGATACTTCGATCTTACTACATTCTATTTAATATAAAATTCATGTTTCTACGCTATGCATTATAAATAAAATGTCAGTGAGCATTTTTTCCAAATGAATTTCTAAATTACAAAATCTTATTAGTTTATGAAAATGAGTTACCCGATAAAAGTCGACGAATGAATAAAAAACCTAAATATTCAGAGTTGCATGTAATATTATTGAATTAATTTCATGTCTATTTAGGTTTTGATTTTCAAAATAATATTTTCTTACCATGAAATTAAATTTTCTACCATTTTGTTCTTGTAAATACTAATGTAATTTTGTTAAACTGTTTTGATAAGAAAAACAAGGAGATCACATTTTTATTTATTTAAAATTTGAAAAACATGGAGATTACACTTTCACCAGGAAAAACTACAAAATAACATATCCAACCACTCCGTGTCCACCTGATTTGACATATTCAGATCCAATATGGGTCGAAATCAGATGGAATAAAAAAAATCCTCAAGTGAGACTAAACTAAAATCCTACCAAATCTGATTCTCTCCTATTTCTTTTCTAAGATCTCTGATTCTCCCTCGTGATTTCAAAACCGTTCAAATGACAAGTATAAATAGGAAATTTCGGAGGATTCAAATTGAAATAATCAGCTAGGTAAGTTTGTGTACACGGATGGGTTTCGATATATTGTGAGATAGAGAGAGAGAATCGTTGAATCTAACGTTTCGAATTGATTCGTGATAATTGATTTTTCTAAAAATTCTAGTTCTAATATTTTGTTTTTAGTCAAGTTCATTGCGGGTTTACAAACTTAGTTTTTTTTTTTTTGAAAATTTCACTGCATTAATATAAATATTTTTGTGTGTGTTTTTTTTAAAAAAATAAATACATTTGGGCCTGACCAAGAAGCCCAGAATGAGTCTGGTCAATAATCCATATCCTAAAACTAATGGGCCTTAACCCCTAACAAACCAAGCCCAATAACCCAAATCCATCTTTTGGGAAACCTTAAACACCCAAACGGCACAGGTCCGATGTCGAGCAGGGACGATGACGCTTCTGCAATCCGGTGACACAGACCCTCGTCGCCGTCGCAGGAGGAGCCAATCTCTAGGAGGTGCGAGAAGAGAAGATTCCAATACTTCAAACTTAGTTGCTGGTTAGATAAACAAAATTTATTAATTCAATTTTATTTTGGTAATTAAAATGATAGATAGTTTGTGTAGTACAATGATTGTACTAAATTGTTTGTATTGTAAAACAAAAATGAGGAAAATGCGATTTATTTGCATAACTAGACAAAAATTGGTGGACTCAACGTTTGCATTTTA